CCATCACTGCGCACAAGCAATAGGCTTATAGCCGAGACGTGGGTGTGTGCACAGTGTGGGCAGAAGTAGTAAATGAGTTCAGAGTATGTACTTGGGGTCTTTAACCTCTTATTTATAAGGGTTACCTCTTGGGCTTGTGTAGATCTCCCAGTTGTAGTAGGATTTAACTTCCTTTCTGTTGGGATAGAGACTTTATCCTTAGCAGCCTTACTATTTTATATTGTTAGGATAATTGGGTAGTTATCCTTTAAGGGATCCTTGTGTAGGTGGTTAGGATATGGAAATATTCCATAACAGTTGCCCCCCAGCCCGGCAGTTCGGAAGCTCAGACTGCTGGGGTGCCTAAGTTTGATTGATAGGTCGACCCTACCGAGGTACTATGATCCTGCCTTGGGTCTGGTGCGACTACCTCTTCTTGGTTTAGCGTTTTATATTGGCTTCTTTTCTCTTGAAGTCTTTGAGTGGTGAGGCGGTGTTTGTCTTTTTTTGACTTTGAGCTCGGCTTCTTATACCATAGCTTTCTTTAAATTGACTTAGATTTTGTCTTGCCTACACTTTTGAAGGCAGTATATTTGCCTTTCTGATTATAGCCCGGCTTAACGTACCGTGGCTTTTCTAGACTTTTTGTCATATTTTGTTTGAGCCCGGCTTCGCATACCGTCTCGATTTGTCTTTTATCTTAAATTGGGGTGTGGTCCTTTTCTAGGATCACGATCTCTTCAAATTTGTCTTCTCGGATTGGGGTGTGATTCTTTTTTTGTAGAATCACATCTCTCCAATTCTATCTTTCTTCTTCTTCTTTTTTCGGATCGGGGTGTAATCCTTTGGCTAGGATCACAACTCTCCAATTTCGTCTTCATTTTTATCTCAGATTGGGGTGTGATACTTTTCTTAAGATCACATCTCTCCTTTTCTGTCTTCATTTTGATCTCGGAGCCTGAAGCTATGGCTTAGGCTGAGGCCGAGCTTTAATCTTGAAGCCCTTCATTGGGCTGAATTGGAGCTCAGGCTAAGGTCGAGCTTTTAAGCTTGAAGTCCTTCGTTGGGTTGAGCTCAAGGCCGAGACCGAGCTAATAATTTTAAAGCACTTTGTTGGGCTTAGTTGAAGCTCAAGGCTGAGGCCGAGCTTTTAATGAATTTGAAGCCCTTCACTAGACTAAGTTGGAGCTCAAGGCTAAGGCCGAGCTTTTAAACTTGAAGCCCTTCGTTGGGCTGAGCTCAAGGCCGAGGCCGAGCTAATAAATTTGAAGCCCTTTGTTGGGCTGAGTCTAAGCTCAAGGCTGAGGCCGAGCTTTCAAAATTGAAGCCCTTTGTTGGGCTGAGCTCAAGGCCGAAGCTGAGCTAATAAATTTGAAGCCCTTTGTTGGGCTGAGCTTGAGGTCGAGGCCGAGCTAATAAAATTGAAGCCCTTAGTTGGGCTGAGCTCAAGGCCGAGGTCGAGCTAATAATTTTGGAACCTTTTGTTGGGCTGAGTTGAAGCTCAAGGCTGAGGCTGAGCTTTTAAACTTGAAGTCCTTCATTGGGCTGAGCTCAAGGCTGAGGCTGAGCTTTTTAAACTTGAAGTCCTTCGTTGGGCTGAGCTCAAGGCCGAGGCCGAGCTAATAATTTTGAAGCCCTTTGTTGGCCTTTTTTATCTGAACCCGGCTTTTTATGCCGTGGTCTTTAAATTTGTGCCCCGCTTCTTTCGCGGGGGATTTTTAATCTAAACTCGGCTTTTTATGCCGTGGTCTTTTAATTTATAGCCCCGCTTCTGTCGCGGAGGCTTTTTTATCTGATCCCGGCTTTTTATGTCGTGATCTTTAAATTTGTGCCCCGCTTCTTTCGCGGGGAATTTTTAATCTAAACCCGAGTTTTTATGCCGTGGTCTTTTAATTTATAGCCCCGCTTCTGTCGCGGAGGCTTTTTTATCTGATCCCGGCTTTTTATGCTGTGGTCTTTTGATTTGAGCCCCGCTTCTTTCGCGGAGGCTTTTTAATCTAAACCCGGCTTTTTATGCCGTGGTCTTTTAATTTGAGCCCCGCTTCTTTCGCAGAGGCTTTTTTATCTGATCCCGGTTTTTTACGCCATGATCTTTTAATTTGAGCCCCGCTTCTTTCGCGAAGGCTTTTTTAATCTGAACCCGGCTTTTTATGCCGTGGTCTTGTAGAGACGGAGATTCTCGTTGGCATTGGGGTTCTTGAGCTTCTTGCACGACGATCGCCCTTCATGCTTTTTTATTTCATGGTGAGCCCCATTGTATTAAGATTTGGTTGTGGCGGCGCTTCTCTTGCTACCGCGGTGATTATCTGTGGCTTTACGCTTGTGCTCTGCGTGCTCACTTTGGGTGGGAATCGAACTTTACGGTTTCTCACATACGGCGCCAATGTTCGGTTCTATTAAACCGTATAATTATACCTCAAGGGTATGCGCTCAGAGATATCCTATGGATAGGTATCTTGGTTGGCTTATAGCTAATATCCCCATCACTGCGCACAAGCAATAGGCTTATAGCCGAGACGTGGGTGTGTGCACAGTGTGGGCAGTAGTAAATTAGTTCAGAGTATGTACCTGGGGTCTTTACCCTCTTATTTATAAGAGTTACCTCTTGGGCTTGTGTAGATCTCCCAGTTGTAGTAGGATTTAACTTCTTTTCTGTTGGGATAGATACTCTATCCTTAGCAGCCTTACTATTTTATATTGTTAGGATAATTGGGTAGTTATCCTTTAAGGGATCCTTGTATAGGTGGTTAGGATATGGAAATATTCCATAACACAATCAAATATTTAAATTTCATAACATAAAATTCTAAAAAACGTGTCGGAGCGTTGACTGCGTGTCGAAAAAATATGTCAGAGAGTTGATCACGTATCCTCAAATGTTGACCGCGTGTCGGAATGTGTCTGACACTCAAATTTTTCAAAAAAAGCGTATCTGTGCTTGTTAGAGTATCATAAATATTAGTGCAATGCAATAAACTCTATAACTTAACGAAATATGAATTTATTTATATAGATAATTTTTTAAGAATTATTATTTTAAAATTTTAAAATCATATAGATTAACAATTCATAAAAAATAAATATACTATTGCGGACAAGGAAAATTGTCATAACTCCCTCTTCCCATTACACAACATGCATCCTCCTACCAAGTACCATCACTCTATCCACTACACATAACCACTCAATATGCCACTATATGCACTACACCCACATTCACATGTAGAAACTTCCCACGACCTTCATCCATAACCGTTGTGGCCTATTCTTTAAATCCTTATCTGTGACATGGGAAGGGCATTCTCAAATCACACATCACAACCTCTACCGTACACTACACCTCCCTTCTTCGTACATTGCATTTGCATTCTCTCACACACATAAGATTGAATTCGTCTCGGGTTAAAATCTGATTCAAACATAAATAGTCTCAACTTAAACACATAATTATTCCTATTAAAATTCTGAACTCAAAAACGACCTGCTTATTATACACTTATTATACAGGTTAACGAGACCTTCAACTCGAACACAGATAACTATTCATGTTTAACGTGTATTATGTAGGCTGACATAACAAGACATTGTTAACAGGTTAATAGAATCAATTTATACATCCATTTTGCACCAAAACAAACAAGAGTTCCTATAGTGATGCTATAAAGAATTTTTTTCAATTTTATTAAAGGTTTCGATCATTTCAAATATGAAAACGTATTCTGACTTCGAACTATGATATATGTAAAAGTAATTCATACAAAACTACAAATATGAGCCTTTACGGTTAATGCATAAGGATTATTTTCATTTATCTTTTTAGTTATAATAAAATAAAGAAAAAAATATTTATCCTTTTAAAAGACATAGAATTGAGCTTTTTCACCCTTTTGCCCCTTATTAATTAATTAATAACCATTTTGCCCCTAATTCGAAACTATCTACCAATCTGCCCCTCTTTAATCGACTACCTTGCATTTTTAGTCGATTAAATGGTCAAAACAGGCAAAAATAGCTGTTGGGAGATTTAATCGACTAAATCTCCCTATTTAGTCGACTAAATCTCCCAACAGACAACAAAGGAAAACAAGTCAGTATGATTTTTTAATCAATTAAGTAGGGAGATTTAGTCCCAACAACCATGTAATCGATTAAAAATTCAAGTTAGTCGATTAAAGAGGGACAGATTGGTAGATAGTTTCGAATCAGGGGCAAAATGATTATTAATTAATTAATGAGGGGCAAAATGGTGAAAAAGCCCATAAAATTGTGTCATTTTAAATGAGACAAAAACATAACTTAGTATTTTTCTATTTAAAATTTAAATTTAAAAAAATCACAATTTTTCTCTCATAATTTTCGTTACTTATGTCTTTCTCTTACTTAAAATAACATAACACTATATCCTTTAAAAGGACAATCACTAAACCCAAAAATAAAACACTCAAAAAGGAGGAAAATAACCGGACAAGAATCCTTCTTAATAACAAAAACATTTTTTTATCCAATAAAAGATAAAAGATTTGCAGCAAAGCCGTACTCGATGAGATTGTTATATTCTACAGCCTTGCTTTTTCCACCAATTTTGTCAAGCCTGGAGACGAGCAAATCCGATGTCAAAGGGGAAACAACATAATCCAAACTCAGAATAGCATCTTGCAACTCGGTTGAATCAATTCTGCCACTCCTGTCTTTACCAGATTTCTCAAAAATGGACTTCACAATGACCGCTTTGATTCGGTCCCTTTTACGTATATATATATTTTTTTTTATAACTGAGGCTGTTAAGAGCATAAATGAATGATGGCAAAATTGGGTCGGGAATCGCTACCAAGTGCCAAATTACATGATCACCTGAATAATGCTATTTACACAAACCTTCCGTACATAACCTATCTGAATTCTCCACTAAAAACTTTTTTTCCAGTAAAACGTAGATGTAGCCAACTACAGATTTACACCCAGTCATAACCATAATAAGAGTTTCCTTTCTGGTATGCAATGAGTTCAAGATATTAAGAAAATTAGGATAAATAAATAAATTATTCTTCGTGGATACCAACACCAAGCGACTGAAATCACTTTGGGTAACAGATCTTGATCAACCATGTATAAAATGCAATATTAATCTACCCAGAGGTTCAAGATTGTTATCATAATTTTTTACATTTACTGATTTACATGAAGCCAGCTATTTCCCATCACTTAATAAACAAGACGATACATGGGTAGACATAACCCGGTAAAATATGAAGCTCCAAGTCATATCTAGGTTCGCCTTATTCAGGATGACAAGTCCAATAAACCAGTCCACTGTATGCAACGAAATTCGAATTAGAATGCAAGTAATCAACAAGAAAAAAGGGCTAGGATCATTCAAGTTACAAAGAGAAGCAATCACCAAACAAATCAGTAAAATCTTAAGAGTATGTTTAAAGTGATGGCATGCTTTAAAATTTCAATTCCAGAGAAGGACAATGGCAGAAGGTATAATTGGTTGCATTTTCAAGCTGTCTATGGGGAATTATATTAACAGTCAGGAGACTCGGGACTTTCAGAAACCAGTATCATAATGGGTTTAGGTTACCCGAAATAGACAAGTGAAATAAAAATACTGTACATGATGATGGAACCCAGAATTAAGAGGACAAGATCCCGTAAACATAACTATGAAATACAAAAGATACACCAAAGAGATCTCAACTCACCCTCAAAGCCAAATACCTACGCTCAAGAGATCCCTAGAGATCCTTCACCAAACCTCCTTTCACCAAATACTCAATTCATGCCTATAGAAACATCCCTCTAAACTTCTATATATACTAATCCTATCTTAAGATACTAATGATTTCCAATGAAATTTGAAATGCTAACTCTTTGAAAATCATTTTGAAACAGCTCTCAAAAAATTCATTTCTGTGAATGATTCTTCAACATTTCATGGTTTTGATGGTTTTCAACACATAATTTCTTCAATTCTAAAACAAGGCACTTTTGCATTACAACTCAAGGGAAAAAGAAGTTCTCAGACAGTACTTACGGAATTGTATCAGCATTCAAGAAAAGCAAGAGAGATGAAGAGGGCATAGATGAATTATTAAATGTTCAAACACCACTTACCTGATCAACACAAAAACACACTGCAAAACGCCTGCAACTCCAGCCCACACTGAAGGGCCAGATTTATCAATTGAATCTTGGATCAGTAGACCTGCTGATCCAGCTAAAGAAACAAAGGATACAACATAGGCAATAAAGAGCCACAGCTTCAGTCTGTTAACAAGAGGAAGTGGTTAAAACAAATTCTCAAGACAACACAGAGTACAGAGACATGTGAATCTCATTGCTTTAGGCCTTAAGCTAGTGGAAATTAAAAATCATAGGAATGTCTTGAGTTATTTCATCTAGTTGACTTGACGCACACAAGGAAACACTTCCTTGTTTTCCCTTCTTACATATTCCCCTTCCTATATCAGATAGATTAATGAAGCCTTGAGACACTGAGGCGCATAGTATTTTTATAACATGTCAGGTATCTGCTTGCACAGACCAAGTTTGTAACATGATTACCATATATCTCCTCCTATTGCAATGCTGGGACTTCAAATTCACCGTGTGTAGGGTGGTATGAGAAAAAAAATTCTGTTCTCATTTATGGCAGTTTTGGAGGAAGGATAACAGACATCTACTATCACTCAAATCATTTAATTAGTCGGTCAGTATTGTAGGAGAAAAATAGAATCTTTGAAGTAATCAATATCAACAACACTTTTATTCCAAATTAGTTGGGGTTGGCAGTCGATGAATACAAATGAAAAGATTGAGAGAAAAATAAATAAAAGAAAAATACAAAAAATGAATAAAAATAAAGTGGAAAATTAACATTTATAGGACACCTTACACCTTGAAGTATTGAACATAACAATTAACAAATAATAGCATACAGGGCCAGATCAATAATTCAGTAATATTTAAAGACAAAGTGTGACTGATGGGACACCAGAAATAAGGGTGTACTTTAGAGAAAGGTACAGAAGATCATCGGCTTCTTTAGTAGCTGAGTCAGCTAAGCAGGTAGAGGAGATTATTCCCTAATTTGTTATGAGGAAATCAGTTCGGATTTGGAGGAAGTAGAGGCAGCATCATGTAAGGGGAATGAGGGGATAAATAGGTGCATGAGTAGAAAGTAGAAAGGGACTAGCAGAGCTCCTCTATTGGCTTTGATACCAATTGGTGAGTATGAGACAAGAATAAGGAATTAAGAACAAAAGATGGAAAACAGAGGTAGAAAGTTGCACCGGAAAATGAAACATGCAGAACAAAGAAAAAGGAAGTAGTTCAGAGAAATTAGAGAAGCTCTGATTTCTCTGAAACCCAATTCTACTCACAGTCTACTTTCTACTCATCCTTGCACCTATTTTTCCCCTCATCCCTTACACGATGCTGCCCACTACTCCCTCCAAATCCCAACTGATTTCCTCATAAAAAATTAGGGAATTTTCTCCTCTACCTGTGTGGCTGACTCAGCAACTAAAGGAGCTGATAATCTCCTGTACCTTTTCCTATAGTACACCCTTATTGTTAGTATCACTACTCAGTTGCTCTTAAAACTTAATATCTTGGACACATGCATGCACAAACTCATTCTAGACATACAAGGATAACAGCATTCTTTGCAAAGTTGTTCAAAATATTACTTGGGACCTCAGCCTCTGTTTTGGAGAAATATAAATTCACTGCAAAAGGAAAAGGTGTTTATGTTCAGCAACCCAGTATCTGGTGAACGACCTCATTCCCTTGCTTCTAAGTTCATGACTAACGAGTAACGAGTAAAGTAAACTAATTCAAAATAATAGCATAGTCACTCACTACTCACACTCCATGTTCAATCTAAACAAAACTTATGCCTTGAATTTCTTTACCAAATTACGATATCACCAAGGAAATAAACCCTCCCTATGGCTTATTAATTTTGGCAACGCTTGAGAAATTTAATTTGAGAACTGAAAAAGCAGGTAATCAAGTACCTCCACTCGCCTTCGTCGTACGGAGAATAATCAATGTCTTCTTTCCTAACGCAATTGAACATCAAAGCCGCGAGGGAAGCGAAAATTCCTTTAAAAATCAATAATCAAACGCATAATTGGTTAATTGAAACCCTAAAACTAAAAGAGAGAGGTAGAGATATGTGAAACTCACCGGGTAGGTAGTGAAGGAAGGGAACGGTGACGGAGCTGCACACGACGGCGTCAAGCCAGATCCACCACCCGGCACCGAACACAGCTCCTGCGACGCCGGGGCCGAAAAGTGCCCATAACTCCGTTAAGTCCATGTTCTCTTTCTATCACACCCAAACCCCAAACAACACAAACGCAATCACACCTAACCTTCTGTTCCACGACATATCAATACGAAAATATCTTCGGTACATAGTGAAAACTCAGTTAAAAACTTAAAATTAGAAAAAAATAATATACTTAATTTTATTTTATTTTCCTATTTTTTATGGTTAATGATACTGAATTATTTATTTTTTTCTATTTTTAATAAAAGAGTCCATACCCATGTAGTAATGTAACATTGAAGATACGCGGAATAGTGACCAAAGTGTCACTGTTGGCCAAAAAAATTATCAGACTATCACGTCAACAGTAAATTTTGTCAAAATGCCACGTGGCATATTTCGCTACACTGTGTAGCGAAATATGTGTGCAAATAATTCGCTATACAGTGTAGCGAAATATGCCACGTCAGAACCAAAAATAAATTTTGACACATGGCATTTTTGGTTCTGAGCATTCTGACGTGGCATATTTCGCTACACTATGTAGCGAATTATTTGCACACATATTTCGCTACACAATGTAGCAAAATATGTCACGTAGCATTTTGGCAAAATTTATTGTTGGCGTGGCAATCTGGTAATCTTTTTGGCCAACAGTGGCAAAATGGTCACTGTTCCAAGATACGCTCCATCAATACACCGTATAATGTTTATTTAGCAAGGGTTATGTTTATTTCATTTTACATGAGATAAATAATTTTCCTACACAAAAAAAAAGATTGGGTCCCACCACTTTTTTTTCTCTCTTTCTTATCTGTGGGTCTCACTTGTAATTTTATTTCTACAACATAAGGTAACTATTTCCCTACGACATAAGAAAAGTATTTCCCTTTAGTAAATAATAATAATAATGTATTGTAATTTTGTTTTTACTTATAAATTTATATAAGAATATTCTTTTTGTTAATTTTTTTAGCTACGTTTTCTATTCATTGTTGTTGTTTTCCTTTTTATTTTTTAATTTTGTAAAAAAATTATTTATTTATTTATTTATTTTATTTTAAATTTTTTGGACAATAACAGGAAAGATAAAACAAAGAGACACAGACAATAAAAGAAACTAGGCACACAGCCTAGGCCAGCAAACACCAATTGTATCACTATACAATCTCGCTAAACATCCTGATGGAGGCTCGTCAAAAACTTGAACTGCCCAGCTTAATCCGTAAGCATACGAGGCTAGCCAGTCAGCCACCCTGTTTCCTTCGCAATGAATGTGCATGATTTGAACCTGCCAATGCCATTGCAACATGCTTCTAATTCGTTGAACCAGAATAGCAGAAGAATGGTTTAGATGGAAACCATTTCTTATTAGAAACTGGGCTGAAAGTGAATCCCCTTACAACCAAACTTTCCTAAACCTTTTTTCCCAAGCTACTTGTAATCCTTCCAAGCAAGCCCACAACTCTGCATGCAGCACCGTGCCTGGTCCTAAGTTCCTGCAGAATCCAGCAATCCAACTCGCAGATGGGTCACAAACCACTCCTCCACAACCTGTCTTGAATCCGTTGTCGGAACTAGGCCCATCAACATTAAGCCTGACCCAGTCTTGAGGAGGGCAAAGACCAAGCTATCATTTTTTCTATTCAACAACTAGTCTGGATCCCTGCTTCATTAAACATAACAGAAGCAAGAGCAACGCTATCCCTATAACCTATCGCAAATCGAGTAATTACATAAGCATTCTGGTTTTTCCCTTCAAAAACCCAAGTATTCCCACTTCTCCAGATAAACCATGAAAGAACTCCAAAAAGTAGGGACCCATCCATCTCCCACCCCCAATCTCGACTAATATCTAAATTGGTCATCATCCAATCTTGTAAATTAAGAGCAAAAAAATCCTGCCAATTCATGTGTTTCACAACCAAGCACCAAATTTCCTTCGACTTTGGATAGTCACGAATGACATGAAGAACAGTCTCACTCGATTGGTAACTGTTGTAAATAGTAATTATGTAGTCATTTATTGCTGTTGTAAATAGTAATTATGTAGTCATTTATTAGTAATTATGTAGTCATTTATTTGTATTTATTTAGTCCGTTACTTGTATATTGGGCCAAGCCCATTAGGTCAAAATTAGGTCAAGAAGTCTCTATAAATAGAGACCCATATGTACAGATTCAAATACGATTCAATAATATTTCAAATACCCTTTTATTTCAAGTTGGTATCAGAGCTCTCGATCCTGAGGGCTCTGCTTCCGCGCCTATTGTCTTTAGAACAAGAACCTTTTATTCTTTTTGTCTCTCGCTGCCATCAGCCGCCACCAGATTTTTTTTCCGGGGACCTCTTGGACCGAGAAGATCTCTGTTATACTGGATCTCTGTTACTGTTCATCGTCTCCATTATTCTTCATCACAAGACAGCATCTGTTCATCACGATTGGACCCTTTCCCGGTGGTTTTTCAACTCCGAACAGACCCAGAAAGAACCGCGCTCACCGGACGATGTTGCTCCAGAAATTTCAGACCGGACGGCCACCGCACGCGCCCACACGCGCCGCCCCTTCAACCGCGAGTGAAGCCCACGCGCAGCCAATCTCACCGGCGCGTGGCGGCACGTGAGACCATTTTTCCGGATCGGACCACCGCGATCTTGATCGTCCCTTCATCCTCTTTCTGGATCTGTGCTCCTCTCTTTGATCGGACATCGTTTGGTATTTATTTGTGATTTTTTGGCTTCTTGGAGCTTTTCTTTGACCATTTTCTGTGCAGTATGACCTCTTCTCAAAGGATTTCTTTTTCAAAATTTTATGATGGTACCTCTTCTAGACCTAAGAGAGATGATCGATGGTGTTCTTATTGTAAAAGAACAGGTCATATCAAGGATTTATGCTTTCGCCTTTATGGAAAGCAATCTGTCTTAGAAAAGATGGAAAAGTTGCGTGGTCAAGCGCATTTTACTTCCTCTGAATTAACTCCTACACCTAATAAGACCCAACCTGCATTTCGTCCAGATGAGTTGGAACGGCTCCGAACCATTCTTGATTCTATGAGTAAGCCATCTGATACTAGTGCTTTGACTATGACTGGTATGAGCTCCAAAACTTATTCTTTCCTTTCTTCATGTAATGATTTTAAACATTCTTGGGTTGTTGATTCTGGTGCTACTGATCATATGGCTTGTTGTGCTGACTCCTTTACCTCTTATCATCCTACCATTGGAACTCATACAATAGCCGTAGCTGATGGATCTCATACATCAGTTGCGGGTTCTGGTGACATAAACTTACAGCAGTCCTTACATCTTAAGGATGTTCTTCATGTTCCTAAACTTTCCACGAATCTTCTTTCTATTCATAAAATTACAAAAGATTTGAATTGTACTGTAACCTTCTATCCTACCCATTGTGTTTTTCAGGATCTCGCCACGGGGAAGACGATTGGTAGTGCTAAAGAGCAAGGTGGGTTGTACTATCTGGTGTCACAATCTCCTGCAAATAAAGTAACAAATCACATCTTGATGTCTCATGGTCAATCAACTGCTGATTCTTTGATTTGGCTTCATCATAAGCGCTTAGGTCATCCTCCATTTAGCTTACTCAAATCTTTATTTCCGTCATTGTTTTTGTCTAAATCTGTTGAGTCTTTTCATTGTGATGTTTGTGAATTTTCTAAGCATCATCGTGTGTCTTTTCCTTCTAGTATTACTAAGAGTGTTGAACCTTTTGATCTTATTCATTCTGATGTTTGGGGTCCCTCTAAAGTCCCTCATGTTCTGGAAATAGATGGTTTGTTTCTTTTATTGATGATTGCACTCGTGTAACTTGGGTGTACTTAATGCGTGAAAAGTCTGAGGTACCACAACTGTTCTTTCAATTTTATAAAATGATTGAGACCCAGTTTGGTAAAAAATTCAAGAGACTAAGAACAGATAATTGTACTGAATATGTTAATCATAGCTTTTCCCAATTTATAAGAAATAACGGTATGATTCATGAACTTACTTGTGTTGACACCCCCCAACAGAATGGGGTTGCTGAAAGAAAAAATTGTCACCTTCTTGAAGTGGCTCGTGCATTAATGTTTCAGACACATGTACCCAAATACTATTGGGGAGATGCTATTCTTACTGCAGCATTCTTGATCAACCGTTTACCCACTCGGGTACTTGACCATGTAAGTCCTATTCACTCTATGACTTCTTTTTTCCCTTCTATTCCAACTATGATGAGTCTTCCTCCACGAGTGTTTGGGTGTGTTGCTTTTGTTCATGTTCATAAACATCATCGCAGTAAGTTGGACCCTAGGGCTATTAAATGTGTTTTTCTTGGTTATGTTCCTGATAAGAAGGGCTACAAGTGTTATCACCCTAGTAGTAGGAAATTTTTTGTTTCTATGGATGTTACATTTCAGGAATCTGAGTCCTTTTTCCAAGGTCCTCATCTTCAGGGGGAGAATCCTTCACCAGAAATCTCATTACCTCCCTTCTTTGAGTTTGAATCATCAGTGTCTACTCCTTTACCTATGTCAGTGTATCCTCCACCTGGTCCTGTTCCTCCTGTGTATGTTTCTCCTTTGTCTGTTCCTCCTGTGTCTGATCCTCTTGTGAGTAATCCTCCTGTGACTGATTCTCCTGTGATTGATACATCAAGTACACCAGAGATACGAAAGATTATGACACCTGAAAGAAGGAAACAGCCCACATTGTCTCAGCAGCAACCTCAATCGTCTGAACCACTGGTAAGTCCTGAATCTCATATTTCTGATCATGATGTTAATACTTCTGATGACTTACCCATTACTACTGATTCTGATGATTTACCTATTGCTCTTAGAAAAGGAAAAAGAGCTTGTCCCAAGAAATCTTGTCCCTCTTGTACTCAATACCCTATCTCCCAGTTTGTTTCCTCTGCTAATCTTTCTGTGCAGCACAAAAGCTTTGTTTCAGCACTAGACTCTATTGCAATTCCAAAATCAGTACATGAAGCCTTGAAAGATAGGAATTGGGCTCAAGCCATGCAAGAGGAGATGAATGCATTGGAGAAAAATAAAACATGGGAGGTTATTGATAGACCTACTGGAAAGAAAGCAGTAGGGTGCAGATGGGTT